TTTCCTTGTTTTCCTTGGTCTCCGGTAACAGTGTCTACTACGGATCCACCGCGAATTGTTATGTGCGGGAGCTATATCCGACGGACTATGTATTAGGAATCACTAATTTGATTTCTGCACAGCTTTCTTGTTTCTTCGTACAAACTAAAATTCTCATTGGTCCTTGAAAATATCCATCTTTTGTTTTTCTTTTTTCTACAAGCTAAAACATCCATCAAGGTAGTTTGAGCCCCTATGACAGCCGTAAATACAACTAGATGCTTGGTTCGGACGGATGCTTGGACGGCCTATCTCATTTTTTCTTGGCAGTATAGTAAAATATTCTAAATAAATATTCTACAAATAAATAAATTCTATTAAATAAGCAGCCGCCTAAAAAAAAAAAGTAGCCGCCTAGAAACATGGGCTTGCATTCTTCATCATCCGCAAAATTAGCCACTGCCTTCGGTTTTTCTCCCAATGTTTCCACACCACAGCATCAGGAGTTCATCTTTGCAAAGCACAAACGTTATTTTCTTCTCATGATCCACAATTGCAATCTTTGTGGGTGTTCCAATACTAATTTTGTCCATTCCAGTTGTGGAAACAATGTCAACAGAACACCTATGAGCAATAAGAAGCAATTACTGATTTTGTAATTCAATGATTATACTAAGCCTTGCATTAAGAACGTTAACTTATTCAACCGTAGCAAACACAGTCTGAATATCTAGTTGTACCAAAAAAAATCAACAGAGTTATGGGAAAAAGATGTACATGCATGGGAAAATAAATTCGGATTAGCTTCAATCATTAACCACACAAACATGCAATCACACATGTATACAATTTAGCAGATATATTCAAATTTAAAGACCTCTTATAGTTTTCGAGAAAAATACAAAGGAACTCAACAATATATTTACTGGGGATAAATAGTCCGAGTCCATTTGGCCCAGGGTAAGATATGAAGTTTTATTTTCATAAACTTTGATTGTCTCCAAGTAAGACCACATTTCTTCCAAGATAAAATCAAGATGAACATGAGTTCCCAACAAAGATTACATGAAATTCTTTAGCATTCAATTATGATTTGGATAGAGAAAACAAAATAATGAGATTTGATCACATTTTTTCCACATGCTTCAATCACTTGTTTATGCATCTATTCAAGCGTTTGTGTCAATTTATTGTACACCTTTTCACAAAACAACTACTTGAAGTAGAAATTACTTCACAAAAAAACTACTTCAAATTTTCATCTACACCATCACACAAAAATTGCAATTAAATACAAAATTAAATTAAGAGAAATATTGGAATCAAATATGAAATAAGAATTTCATAAGGATGCAAGCCAGTAATGTAATAGATAAGAGTTTGAATACACTACCTTGGGCCATATCCTTAGACAAAAACTGTATATAGATTCCAAATCAACCAACAGAACTTTTTTTCGTTTGGGTACAAAAAAGAAGGCTGAAGATAATTTTTTCTTTTCAATATAAGTAATACAGATAAACTAAAACCATAGGCCAAAGTGCATTTTATGTAATGTAATAGAGAAGGTCTAAAGACTAAGAAAGTTATCAATAAACTCATGCTTAACTTAGCACAAACCACCCAAAAAAATTAACAAATGCCTTTATCAAAAATTAAATACTGAGGATGGCTAGGAGATACCTTCATTTGAATTGAACCCTTTTTTCTAAGAGTTTTCAGCATTTAATCTAGTATCATAAGTTAATTGTTCAAAACGGAACCTGGTAGTTCACTTTCAGTGCTCCTAGTCGGCTAATTATTTTCCTGAGATATTTCACTCTCTTCATCACTATCACTCACAAAATCTTGTGGAGTAACAACATTCAAGAAATAGGTCTGCAATATAGAAACAGTTTTATCCCGTATCTCAAGCCAGACTTCTTCAGTGTAATAAGAACTACATGGGAGTATCAAAACAGTTGGTATCCTAATACCTGAAACCAATTCAATGACCAAAATCACAAACCTTCATTATAAATATACGTGAATGTTGATTTTCCATAAAATACATGTAAACTTGAAATGAACTACTGATTTTACATAGAATTTCTGTAAACTTGAAATGGACCCAATCTTTTCAAAGCCTATTAGAAGAAAATACATTTAAACAGCTAATAACTAAAAAGTATTTACTTTTTATACTTTGCTTTAAGCCACTATATAAATCTCCGAATCCCAAGAAATGTGCCTAACTGAATCAACACGCTTCCAAAACCACATTAGTAATTAGCCGGTCTGTACCTTTTTTCGCTTTTGTAACCTTAAGAGTCTCGGCAATCAGGCCTTCAACAAACTCGGGAGTACCATTGTTCGTCTTTAATGAAATGCATCTTTCTTCTCTTCACCCCTAACAAACAAATCCAAATAATAAAAAAGAATGGATATTACAAATTAATTTAACCCAACAAATTAATTCGCCGATGTTGTTCCTCTTTTGTTCTTCTTTATTTATTTATTTTTCTCAATTCCCAGTGAATAGGTAAGGAAACGAATGAGTAGCAAGCCAAAGAGCAAGAACATAACGGTAGCATATTCCAAACCAAGGCAAAAACCAAAGTTTCAAACTACCTGGATGCTCAGTTGTGATCAAGAGAGCAACAAAATCTATGTTGCAGAAGAACAGTAAGTCAAGTAACAATTGAAAGTTGCAGTTTTGAGATACAGAAAGTAGAATTGCTATTGTAATTCCTAAAGAAAGGCTCCCAGCTCTATCTAATCAGTCTCTACCATGTTGAGAAGTTCTAAGTTATGAATTTTAGGGAAACTAAGCTCTCAACATACATAATCACACCTCCAAATTACAAACCCTCTTCATGACTGCAACTAAAAAGCATAAACAGAGATAGAAAATTATCAAAGAAAAGACATTAATTTGCAGGAAACAAAACCAAACTAAACCAAAAAAAGAAATGGAAAAAGGAAAAAAGACTTACGGATTGAATAAGAATCACAACTGGAGCAGCCATCTTTTGGCAAAAAGAGACAAATTAATAGGCGAAAAAAAAGAAGAATCAATTCTTCCACCCTTACGCCGGCAGTGTCGAAATTGTAACGGTGTCAGTGGCTGAACTTCACATCGGCGAAGGAGAAAAAATTCTTCCATCCAAGAGCGGCAGCATAGGAAAAAAGCCATTAAATCTAATTACTCTATAATATAAAAAAGTATGGCCAAATATTATCAAGCATGAAGAAAGCCATCAAACCTTGTATCTGAATTCAATCCTGGTTTATGGTTCCCGTAGCTTCTGGTTTCACCTCCTATGGATTCGTTTGACAACAAAGCTTTCACCAAGTTTGGAATTGGCCGTTGATGAAGCTTGGAATTTCAGATTTAGCCGTCGATGTTTTTTTGGCTACCGGGATTTAATAATTTCTTAAGTCAGTCGATCTAAGAAGAGAAGAATCTGTGCTAATGATAAACTACTAAGAAGAAAATAATTTGGTCAATTAGCTGGATCAATTTGTGGGATTACAGTTCGAATTTGAGGATTTCATGTATCAAGGAGATACGAATTACAGGGAATACGTATTTAACTCCCAGATTTTAGGGAGGTTTTAATATTTTAAATTTTAGCTAATCTTGTGTTATTTGCTGACATTGTGGAGTAATTATTATCCGGTTTTTCATATTATCTTTTTCTTATCTATTTAAATTTAAACTGCCTACGGTTTTTCTTCTTTTCCTAATTAGAAGTAAAGTTTGGGTTTATTTAAGGTTTCATTATTTTTTAAATTTTAGAGTGACACGTGTCAGTTTTTATTTTGTACTAAAAAAGTCATTTGACGGGAAAATTTTCATTGTGATCTGACACGTGTCATTTTTGTTTGCTGCTTTAATTAAGTAATAAGTAATATATATAATATATGGATTAGTACTGGAATGAAGCGCTAAGTTCTAGTATCACAAGATAGTTGATAAATAAATATTATTCTCTAGCTCTGTCCCCAAATGATTGTTCAGTTTGAATTTTTCATTTTGTTTAAAATGTGTAGAAGTTAAAGAAAAATTTCGTATTGGACAATTATTTTGGGATAGAGAAAGTACAACATTTTAATTTCGTAGCTCAAATACAGTTTGTTAGTCATTGAATAAGAAATTAAAGATATATTGTACCCCTGCGCAAACTGATTGTCCTGTCTAGTTCTTTATGATTATTACAATTTTTACTGTAAATGAAAATCTGAACTGAACAATCATTTCAGGACGGAAGGAGTAAGTATTCCTAATAATATTAATAGTGACTCCTCATTTCTATTGATTCATTAATTTGTTTAACTTCAGTCTTCATTAGTTTTGATCATGTTTAAATAGAAAATTTCTAACTATACATTCATTTTATTTATTTTATCGTAATAAATTCATAATAGAAAAGGTTTAACCTAAATTTTGTAAGTAGGGGCCCTGCGTAACGAGGCTGTGAAGTACCCAGTATTATTAAATTTAGTAGATTTTTAATTAAATAATATTTATGTAAATCCATTAATAACAATAAAACATTTAAGTCAATACCCAAATCAATAATAATGATACAGATTTGAGATAGAAATCAAGACCCAAGTCCACACAAAATAAAAGCCCAAATGTTAAAGTAGGCTAAAAATTACTTAAATATTAAATCTCTCTCTCAAGCACTAAAAACAATCAATTCAAGCCGGATATATTAATAATGTATCTTTGTAATGGTAATATCTTTAAACAGATTAGAAGTATGCTTTTTTTTTCTTGTATATAAAACTTATCAAATTTATAACTTTTCATTGCCAACAAAAAATTGTCCCTAATTAAATACTTCTTAAAATACAAATCTAAACTCACTAGGGCATCACATTGTGACTTATAGTTGCAAAAAATTGTTTAAAATGATAATGCTGGGGTTCTAAATAATTTTTTTTATAGGTTTTTGATTGAGAAAAGAAAATGTATTTTGAATATTTTTTAAAGCATAAAATAAACTTTTCTATTTATTTTTTTTACACCTCCTAATTAACCGAAAATCTTAACTCCGCCACTGCCCGAGTTTAGCTAAGGACCCTTGTGTGTGTGTAACCATGTTCATTCATACATCTGCATTAAATCAGTAAACTGAGCTCCAATTTGATGAGGCGAAATCTAAAATAAATTACATTCACAGATTTTCCCCCGCTATTTTCCTAGCTAGCTAGCAGTGGTTTTTCTTCTTGTTTTAGAATTACAGAACAATGAAACAAATTATGTTCCACACTATTTTTAGTATATTTTGCTCTGGTTTGGGTACGTAATTAAGCACGTAAGTTGATAAAATTCCATTGATGGCGAACTGCAACAAAAGAAGCTATCCAATGTCGCAAAAATTCAAGCCAAAAACTTCTAAATCGTTACAGTCACATGCATAAATCCAAAATCCAGTAATGGCACCATTATAGTGCTTTACTGGATAATGCAATTCTATCATCTGAGAAAAAAGTCAGGGGAAAAGAAGGAAAGCCAGGGGAGTATTTTGAACTCTAATCTCGTAGTGACAACAATTCTCACCCTAAGAGACGAAAAGAGCGTTTCTCGCAAATAATTACATTTAGTTGGGCTTGGTGTGGGCGACGACCGCAGAAATGTCGGCATATTTTCTGGCAAGATCCACAATGTTCTGAATTTGAGCTGAATTGATATTAAATTCTTGGAGCCCATCTGTGCAATCTGACAAGCCTGAAAAGCTGGCTGCGATCTCCGAGTCAAGTGACAGCAATTTATTTCCGGTCTTGAGGCTCTTCAAAATGTTAGCGATGGAGTCGTTGAACAGACCCAAGGATTCGTTGCAGCTTTGCGCGATCGAATCCTTGGACTCAGACTGCAGTGATGCGGGAAGAGTTTTGGCTAGGTTTGTGATCAACGGCTTGATCGGCGCCACTTGTTTGTTATATTCCTGGACAACGTTGGTGAACGCGGCCTCCCATGTCGGGGCTCCATTCACGAGAGTGTTACAGAGGATCTTTTCTTCTCCGGGAGCGGCCTGGGCGCAGAAATGGCTCTCAACCGCGGCATGCGCTGCCTTTCCGTTGATTGCCAAAACGAGAACAATGATGGGTAAAAACAAGCGAGAGAAGGAAATGTGGATCAATGCCATGGTTTTTGGGATTGTCACAACTTTCCCTCTTTCTTTGTTTTGTCGGTTGCCACTTTTTTTTTTTTCCCAACCTTTCTTTGGATGATTTTGTTAAGAGTTTGGTTGAAGATCATTTTTATACGTAGCCAAAAGTGGCGAGAACAAGAAAAATTGATGAGTGAAAGACCGATAAATTAGTTAATTAGTCAATTGATGATCAGTAATAAAAAATAATTAGTGGTTGTCACTTTTTTAAGGCTTTTAAAAGATGAGAAGACCTCCATAGTCCATACATTTTGTGTCTGGCAGACTTAAATGAGCCCTCTTTTGAATTGCCTCTGACATCTATCTCCCAAGGAAATCTCAGAGTGCATACAGAAGTGATGGACTATCTCAATCAACCACATTTTCTCGAAATTTAAATAAATCATGTGGTATCATACTTCTTTCTTTTCAAGCTTATACGGGTATGCGTTTCCGTACCGAAGCTGTTTGAACTTAAAAAAAAAAAATCCACTTCGCATTTTTATTGGTGTTGGCTGATGCTAGAGATAGTAGGGAAGTTCTTTATCATCGTGGCAATGCGATTGAGATGTCAAGAGATCACTAACTTAGTTGCTTCACTGATTAAAAAACGAATTCATAAAAAGATTTATAATTGAAGGGTATCTTAATGAACATCTTAAAATTGCTAGTGCGATTGGGACTGGCACATATATATGGAAGGGATGAAACCTTGTGTAGACTGAACTTCTTTTTTTTCTTTTTTTTTTTTGAAAATGATAGACTGAACTTATGATCACTAGAATAAACGGGACACGAATTTTTTTTATTTTTAATTTTCTCTTTTTTTCTTTGTTTATTTTTACCATTGGTTGCAACGGGATGTGGCGTGCACAAATGCAGTTAGTTTTGCATTTGAAGTGGAGAAATGGATACTCTATTCGTCCTAAAATTATCGTCCAATTTAAATTTTTAGTTATAGTTCAAATTGTACTAAAAGCAAAAATCCAAATTGGACAATAATTTTAAGACATACGGAGTACAATTTATCTATAGTTGTGCGTTTCCAAACACAACCACCGCCTAGGATTATCTCTGCTGAAAGTATCAAGGAGTTAGTAGCTTAGGCTACTTAGAGCCTGAATGATTCCTACTTTCTTCCTTTACCATCCCCTCTTCCATTATTTATTCCATAGTTTTGTTGCTTGGGAATTTAATTTTTCGGCATTATTTCTCCTGCTTCATTCCCTTGTTTCTGATGTACATTTACTTCCTGGCAAGCCGTTACAACTAGCTAGGGATCAGTTCGCCAGTTCTTGCCTTGCAATTCCATTGCTTGTGCTAGCGGAAAATTCAGACGGCAGCAATGAACGCGAATTTTACAACGTGTCAGAAAAGAAAGATTGCTATGAGGTTACCACTTCCGGAGCAAAGGGCAAACAGTTTGGGAGCAAGATTTGGGTGGTTACTAACCCTCGACGTGGTTCTTTCCTCTCAAGCTTATAAAGCTGGGTATGTGTTTTTGTCCTGAAGGTTCTGGAGCTTGTAGAGAAGTTCATTGTCATCGGGGCAAAGCAATTTGAGATGTCAAGAGGTCACTAAAGGCTATAGCCTGGTTCATTCGTTATTTATATTGCATCTCTCGGGTGATTTGGAAAGGATGTATAATCCAACTGTTACAATATATGTGCAAATTTTTATAGTCCAACAAATGTGCAAAATGTTTTAGTTTTGTTTGGACAACTTCAGACATGGGTTTGCGTATATCAGTATCAGCTTATATATATTCCATGGATTCATTTGATGTAACTAGCAGCAAAAAAACATAATCTGATATGCAAACAAGGAAACCTTTCCCCTTCGAGCTTGGTTTTGGTCCTCTTTCGAGCCCGAGGTTTGAAAGAATCAGTACAATTGAGTTCGACGATTAAGGTTAGACTAATTAACCTAGACTAGTTCTGAGTTACATGTATAAGGTGTACTCCGTAACCGTATATAACTCAATTGACTGGAAGAAATCAGAGACCGAGATTTAGTTAGGAATAATCTTACTGTCGCCTGTTTGTTCAAAACTATCTTGTCTAAAACTCCAGATATGCATCCAATTGCTCCCCGAGGATCTCGCTGGATGCTGCCGCGAACTCATCTGCGGCCGATCCAAAAGCCATTCCGGCTGGGTTAGAATCCATTTGCAAGTTGTATTACCAAATCAAGAGCAAATCAATTGTGATGAACATAAACAAACATCAACGGCTTCCTTCATTTTCTCAAGCCAGTCAACTTTCTCCTTCAGCCAGCCCCTTACTAAATCATCATCTCCTCCACTTAGCTGATTTCTTTGAAAAATCTTCCAAGGCATCAAAATTCTTCAGATTCATTCTTCAGATTACAGCTAGGTAGGAGATCTTACCCCGCGCGCCTCTCATACCATTATCATAATTTACCGTGACAAAGCTGAAACCGGATCTGGGAGAAAGACACGGAAATAAAAATTTTGAAAAGATTGGTTTCTCTCTGATTGCTTTTGTGTGTTGCGGTAAGATGTTGATTGTGGGAATATTAGAACATGTTAAAAAGAGTGTTAGGGCAAAAGGATAAGAGGCATAATACTACTATTTATAAGACCAAATAAAAACGGACCTCGGGTACAAATAAGATTGAGGCAGATATGATGAACTTAAGCCCAAGAACTTTAAAGGGCTCAACTAATTTTCGATGTACAGTAGAACATCTATAAATTAATAATCGATAAATTAATGTCAGGAACGCGCCGAAAGAAGTCGGCAGAAATTTGAAAATTTGGGAAAGTAATCTGGGACGACGTCGTTCTGTGCATGGCTCTATTAAATGCGTTCATGCAACTCCAGCTGAGGAAGCTTCCTGTGGATTTGGCCGCTGCTTTCGTTTTCATTTTCAGATTATAAATATAGAGGAGTTGTAATCACAATAAAAAAAAAGCATGGTTAACTGCTTTTTTTAAGAATTTCTTTCCAATTCAACTCTTCCTTTCAACTCTCTCTCTCTTTTATTTTCAGTATTCTTTCATTTGTATCCCTCCGCCATATTTTCCTATCGGTTAATTTGACGGAATTGTTACAGGAAATAAGTCAGGGCATGACAATTGGTATCTGGAGATTTACAGGCCTTGGATCTGTGAGGAAATGGCGTCTAATAGGAACGCAAATTCTGTTATTGAACCAGTGGATTAGAATGAGAAATGCAAAAGAGATTTTGAGGATTATATGAAGAAGCAAATGGCAGAGAACTTTGCTAAGATGTATGCGGAGCTACCAGCGTTGATGAAGGAGGTATTCGATAGCAGATTCGATGCGATGGATGCCAGATTCTCTGAAATTAAGCTGGAATTAGCTGTACAAAGAGGATCTTCAAGCTATCATGGTAAAAATTTTAAATCTCCTTCTGTGGCTTCAATTTATAGATTTAAGAACTGTAATCAGTATAAACAAAAGACTCGGATTGAAATAAAAGATGAGGATAAGGACGATGGGGATAATAAGATGCATAAGATGAATTGGAAACCTAAACCTAAGATTGAACTGGCAATGTTTGATGGAGTAAATGCTAGAAGTTGGATCCGGAAATGCCAGAAGTATTTTAGGTTTTATAAAACGACTGATGAAGAGAAATTGGATTCTGTGGAGTTCTATCTAGACGGAAAAGTTGATATTTGGTATCAAGGTTTAATCCTCTAGCTTCATGGGATTAATTTGAGTTAGAATTTTTAAGAAGATTTAAAGATTTGGATAGTTTGGATCCTGTTGAGGAGTTCAATAAACTTTCTCATAATGGTATTATAACTGAATATTATGACAGATTTGAGGAGTTAAAATCTCAGCTATTATGTGTTGATTCTCATCTAAATGAAGCCTATTTTGTATCAAGTTTTGTGAGTGTATTAAAGGCAGAATTTAAACCTTTTGTAAGATTCATGGAGCCTCAGATAGTATTAAGAGCTTTTCAGGCTGCTAAATCACAAGAGCAAACAATGTCTTTAGCTCCCAAACCTAAATTGGTTGCTTCTGCTGTTAATAGAAGCTTTAATGGTAGAGGAAAAGTGACTGCTCAGTGTGTGATTAAAGGCATCAATGAAATGTTTGAAAGATTATCTCCTCGGGAAAAATAGTTTAGGAAAGCCAACAACCTGTGTTGGAAGTGTAATGAATCTTGGGGCCTTGGACATGTTTGTAAGTTGGAGCATCTTAATTTGATCATTGTTGAAGATGATATAGATCTGTCTAAAGTGAATTGGCTAAATGATGAGTTAGAAGGGATTGATAAGTCTTTGGATTTACAATCTATATCATATTGAGAAGATTGTGATACAGTTGATGAAGAGGAACAAGAAAAGAGAACCACAAAACTTATCATTATTAAAGGAATCATTAATGGTGAGATGATGAGAATATTGATTGACACTGGTGTTGTAAGAAGCTTTATTGATAATGCTTTAGCACAGAGATTGGGGTTGAACAAAAAAATTGTGAAACCATACTATGTGAAGGTATCAGATTGACACAGGATCAAGAACAATGAGATTTGTCCAGCTGCTAGATGGGCTATTCATAAGCATAATTTCCAATTTGATTTTAGACTGATGAATCTGGGAAATTGGGACATCATTTTGGGTACTGATTGGATGTCACACTTCAGTCCTGTCCTTTTTTATTATGACAATTGCAGAATTGAGTTGTCAAGAGGTGGCCACAGATTCATGTTGCAAGGACACTCTTTAGCCAGTGAGGATGAGATTGAAAGAATCATAATAACAGCAACTATGAAAAGACCAAGGGTTGAAACTCAATTTTATGTTCCTGATAAAAGGCTAAAGTGGTGGGAAGATGTGAGAAAGGAGACTGGCTTGTGAGAGATGTTCATAGTTATTGAGATAAGTGTGGAAGATGAGATCGAAACTCCACTAGAAATTGAAAAGGTGTTGATCATATTCCAAAAAGTCTTTGAAGAACCTACTATTTTGCCACCTGAAAGGGCAGTGGATCACCATATTCAGCTTAAACCAGGAGCTGAGCCTTTAAACTTAGCCATATAGGTATCCTCATGCACATAAGATTGAGATTGAGTCGCACGTGGAGGACTTGTTGAAAAAGGGAACAACTAGGGAAAGTGTCATTCCTTATGCTTCACGAGTCTTGTTAACCAAGAAGAACGATGGTTCATGGCATATGTGTACAGATTACACGCATTTAAATGCTTTGACTTTTAAAAATAGGTACCCAATTCCTGTGATAGAACAATTGTTGGATGAATTATGTGGTGCAAAGTTGTTTTCTAAGATTGATCTTGGGGGTGGATATCATCAAATAAGAGTTTGCAGGGAGGATGTGCCAAAGACTTTACTCCAAACTCATCATGGCCATTTTGAATTCTTGGTGATACCTTTTAAATTGACTAATGCACCAGCCACCTTCTAGAACCTGATGAACCAGGTTTTTAAACCTTATATCAGAAAATTTGTGCTTGTTTTCTTTGATTATATTTTGATTTACAGTATGTCTTTAAAAGAGCATGTGATGCATTTGAGTTTGGTGATGCAATTATTAGTGGATCATCAGTTATATGCTAAAAAGTCTAAATGCTCTTTTGCCTAATCTTCTATGGAATATCTTGGTCATGTCATTTCTGAAAAAAGAGTTCACATGGATCCTGCAAAGGTTCAAGCAATCACTGATTGGCCAGTTCCTGCTACTGTTAAACAGCTCAGAGGGTTTTTGGGTTTGGATGGATATTATAGAAGATTTCAAGTGGTCTGACCAAGCTACCAAGTCATTTCAGCAACTGAAAACAACCTTGACTACTGCACCTATTCTTAAGTTGTTGGATTTTACACAAGATTTTGTAGCGGAAATAGATGCTTGTGGGGATGGCATGAGAGCACTATTAATGCAAAGTAGTCAACCAATTGCTTACTTGAGTAAAGCTTTTTGTGAAAAGAACAAGGCTCTTTCCACTTATGAGAAAGAACTTCTAGCTTTGGTAATGGCAGTTTCTAAGTGCCAACATTACTTGCTTGACAATCATCTTTACGACGTCATTAATCCTCGGGTATTATTTTCAAACCCCCGAACCCAAAACGACGTCGTTTAAGACATTATTTTAAAACCCCCTAAAGACCTGACACCTATTAATATAGATTCGGTAGACTCTCTCTTTCTTTTTTCCATTTTTAAACCCTGTTTATAAATATATAAAAAGCAGAATATATTTTCACCGGTGTTTCCTCTCTGGCGTTTCCTTCTTCCAATACAAAGCATCACCAGCGGCCTCCCTCCTCCACAATTCTCACCCACGACATCGATTCCCAACAATGCCCTCCGCCAGTCCAGCGCCCTTCTCCAAGCCCTCCAGCAATCCGCCGTCGGAAGTGACATCTCCGTCCTCGCCAAATCAGCGGTCGAGGAGATTGTCGCCTCCCCTGCCTCCGCCATCTCTGTTGCTATTTCGTTATTGTTTTAGGGATTCACCATCTTGAATTTCTATTGTGTTTCATGCTCCGCTTCGACCTCTGAAGGCCCCGCACCAAATTGGTAGCTGGATTGGAGCGATGGAGCTCCAGCTTTCTAATGAAAATCAATTGGAGCTTGTGGTTTCCAATTTTTCATCACCGATTTAGGATTTCTTATGAGCTGTTTCGTAGCCAGATCGAGGAGTTCGAGAATAGGGGTTAATTTTTAAAAAATTCTCAATTCGAGTTGTTTTCTTTGCCGTTGGCGGAGGAGATACAATTTAGAGCTGTTTGTTGCTGCCTTTTTCAATCCTGACCTCTTCCAATCTCCCCGTTTCGATTCTCCACTGTCCTCGATGGAGGTGTTCTTAAGCAAAGTATTAAACGGAGAAAGCAGAGTAAAAGTAGTAATAGCGGCGAAGTGGTTTCAGAATAACACAGCTGGGAAACCTCTGGATGCCACCGTCCGTGGAAGCTGCTTTCGAAATTGCTGCCCTTAACGCCAACATGTATGCTTTGCTAATTTTCTATTGTTTTTATGGAGAATGCGAGTGGAAAATGTATTTGGGCTGGATGTACTTCCCATTTGGGTTTTCCGGCTCTCCGTTTCTGATATTTCTTTGTTTATCTTAAAGAAACTTCTATATACTTGATTTAGTATTGAAATCTAATTGAGTGATAGTGATGTGGAAAAAATAGGATCTGATATGAATAAATTTAACAGAGGAGTTTAGGACATTTTCACCTATTTCCTCCTCTCATTATAGTTTGTGATCTCATAAGAATGTCTAGAATCATTTAATTCTGGGTACCAAGGATCTAAATTGAACATATGATGAAATTGAACCCTAGAACTCCAGGTTGTTGCTTGAAATAATTATGATCTATCTCAGCATATACTTTTATCTACGTGATGCCAAATTGGTATAACTATATCGGTGAAGTAGACTTTCTATTTGTACTTCAACTTTTTGATTTTGGCAAAATTCCAGTTTTAAAACAGTGTTTTGGGTTGCCTTGTTTTTCATGATATGGCGTCGTTTAAACTTATGTTAGAAACACGGAAATAACCACACGATTTATGTTAGAGACGCCGATTACGTAATTGGCGTATAAAAAGCAAATATCAAATCAAGCAAAATATATCATGTTATATATATTAAAGGAAAGAAATATAATCGATACGTGTCGCTCATTGAGACCATCAAGTCTCAAGTAACACGTGTCATTTGCTAGTTGGTTGATCATTAATCAGTTAAAATTTTTTGTAAACAATTAATAAATTATTTACTACTCCCTCTGTCCCGTAAAAATAATCTAATTTAACAAAAAATCTTGTCCTAAAAAAATAGTCTAGTTTAACAAAAGTTAAAATTCATTGAATTGAAATAACTTAAATATCCAAAAGAGTAGTAGTATGAAAAACAAGGTCCACTTCCTTTGATTTTCATTTTTTTAGTTTTCTCTTTTTTTTTCAAATAATTATATCTTCTAATACATGAATAATTAAAAATTGTGTTATATATCAAATTAATTTACGTAACGAGATCTTTCTATCAGGATCCATTGTCAATATTTTTTTAGATAAAAATTTTGATCAAATTTAATTTGTAAAATAAATGCATATGTAGTTAACTTTTCTAGAAATAACTAGAAGGGGAATTAGTGGAAGTTAGGGGAATGAAATGAGTTGTACATTTAGTGTGTTGACCAAATTAAAAAAGTTGTACAGTTTCAAACTGGACTATTTTTTTTTGTGGGACGGAGGGAGTATATAAGATTTTTACAGATATTACAAATTCCTGATTGTGAGCTTGAAAATGAATATTTTTAAAAATTGCTGAGAAACTCCCGACTTCAAAAGTCCTTTCATTTACGAGTTTGGCAAGGGCACATGAAAGAATTAAGCATTTTGCAAACAGGAAAAGAAGTGAAAGGGTGTTCCAGGTTAGAGAGTGGGTCCAGCTCCAGCTACAACCTTACAAACAGCAGACTGTGATGAATAGAAGCAACTTGAAGTTGATGATAAGGTACTTTGGTCCTTATAGAATTTTGGAGAAAATTGGCAATGTGGCCTATAAGTTGGAATTATCATTAGGATCCAAGGTTCATCCTGTATTCCATGTATCTTTGCTTAAAAAGTATCAAGGTCCAGCTTTTGCCCACATATCTGATCTTCCAGACTTAGAAAATGAAGAAGATTGTGCCTTAGTTCCTAAGAAAGTGCTACAAAGAAGGTTTGGGATAAGAGGATCAGAAGAGGTGGTTCAATGGCTCATCAAATGGAGAGGTTTCGAGTTGGAAGGTGCATCTTGGCAGGACTCCAATTTCATCAACGGACAGTTTCCAGACTTTAAAACTTGAAAACAAGTTTGTTTTGAGGGTGAAGGACTGTCAGGAATGCGCCAAAGCTGAAGTCGGTTGAAATTTGAACATTTGGGAAAGTAATCTGGGACAACGTCATGGCTCTATTAAATGCGTTCATGAAACTCCAGCTGAGGAAGCTTCCAGTTGATTTGGCCGTTGCTTTCGTTATCATTTCAGATTATAAATATAGAGTTGTAATCACAATAAAAAAAACATGATAACTGCCTTTTGTTAAGAATTTCTTTCCAATTCAAACTCTACCTTTCAACTCTCTCTTTCTCTTTCATTTTCAATATTCTTTTATTTCTATCCCACTGCCATATTCCCATCGGTTAATTCGACGGAATTGTCACCAGAAATAAGTCAGGGCATGACAATTAATAAGATCTATAAATTAATAATTTTCTCCGGTTCGAAGTCGGGACCAGTACAAAAAGTAAAGACAATCGATGAAATAATAAGATAATAATTTTTCCATAAAGCTCCTACGTAAATTTGGTCCCCCCAATACTATAAATTAATAAAGACTTGAGATTCTAAGAAAAAAATTAGGAGCTGTAAAATATGAATATAGTAACATATGTTTTTTCTTGAAACTTACATCTAAAGAGATATCGTTTTTGAGTTTTTTTCATTGCTTTTAAAAGTTTTGGTGTAGATTTTCATATTCTAACAAAAAAAATTTTAAAAAAATTATTTCCCCATTAAGTACTTCATTTTGTGTAATTGGTTTAAAACATACTGAATCATCATCATTTTCATACTAAGTCAAAGTTTTGATAATAGTTACAAGGTCTCCAAAGATTGTATTAACTAATATTTAATTTATAAATTAATAATTATTAATTTATCAATAAATTAATATATCTACACATTAATAATTTTAGATCCTAACACTATTAATTTATAGATGTTTGACTTTAAAATGGAGCCATTAAACCTATTAACTGATCCCAAGATTATCACCCGGTTTTTTCGGCTTAGTTCTTGAAGTTGAACAAAGGATGAAAAGTATATTTGATTTCAGGAACAACAACAAGAAGTGAAGAACCATATCGAAGTACTCTTCTCTTTATTAATACCACCATTAACACTTATACTTAACATTGATTATGACGAATGTAACGACACTAGTGCATCTATTATACAAACATTCATGAAGCACAATCACAAATATGGTTGGAAAATGAAAACCAATTTTCCTTGCGCTCCAAACATCTTTGTCATGCAAGGGAGATATGCTAAATAACTGATCGTTCACCTGGCCCAAACTTGAGATTTAAGAATCTCAGGATTCACTTCAAGCATAATACTTGCACCTGTACTTTGGCTTTCTTCCCGTACCTTTTGTGCTGCCAAACATTCTTTCAACTCTGATATAACATGAGCCATGTTTGGCCTTTTCGCTGAACTGCTGGAGGTGCATGCCATGGCTACTTTCAGGGTTTTCCACGCCGAATTAATGTCGTATTTCCCCTCCAACTTTGGATCAACAATACTTGCGATATCCCCTGTGGCCGCCATTTCACTAGCCCACGGCGCTACATGGCGCTTCTCCTCCGTCCACATGATCGCCAGCCTTCCCGTGATTAGCTCTAACATAACTATCCCAAGGCTATATATATCACTTTTCTCGTGCAGCCTGTGTGTTTCATAATACCTGATGATCAAGGCCAACCCAAAAAATGTCATTGGTTTATCAACCACGCTGTTTTAAAAAATAGTAGCTTATTTTTATACGGCCTTCGTCTCAAAATGATTTTTTTTTTCTTGTTGTCGTACTATTTTGGTATAACAAACAAGACAATCGTTTTTTAAGAGAGGGAGCGGAAAACTGTAACTCTTGGTTCGGGCAGAGGAAGTATAGATTTTTATACTCATATTTAATGTACAAAGGAACAATACTCACTCAGGATCAAGGTATCCGAGCGTGCCAACCACTCTGGTTGACACATAAGCTCCATCATCTACGGCGAATGCTCTGGATAGTCCAAAATCAGCCAATTTGGCCTCAAAATTTTTTGTTAATAAGATGTTGGTAGACTTCACATCTCTGTGTACAATGGGAGGTTTGCAGCCATTGTGCAAATAATCCAATCCTGAAAACAACACATTTTCAATCGTGTTGTAACCAGAATGAACTTTTCTAGATACGAGAATGAATGAAATGAAATTCTGACCTTGTGCTGCATCCAACAAAATCTGAAGCCTTTCTGACCAACTCAAGATGTGGCCATCAGTTTCTGGCAGAGACAAAACGGATTACTACCAAAGATGATTACATATTATACATTCCCAAGCAAAACTATATGCATTTCAGAGAATATGTTTTTGTCAAGAATAAGAATTAATATAGTGTAGCGTACCTGAAAGGTTTTCTCTCAAGTTCCCTTTATCCATGTATTCATAGACAAGGGCCATGTGGGTGTCTTCATAGCAATACCCAACCAGATGTGTTAAATTACGATGATAAACCTTCGTTAGTAGATCGGCCTGTTTGTCACACATCGTAACAAGACTATTATTATCCAACAGGGGAGCATATTTCGATCAATGAATTGAGAATGAAAGTGGTACTAGCCTACAGCATACTTGATGAGGCTGTTTTGAACTTTGAGTTTTGTAAGCTTTGCTAGGAAAAATAATTGAGAGCTGTTCCTTAGGTTACCTCTCTCTGAAACTCGTTGTAGCCCTGAGAAGAAGACGGGGAGAGTACCTTTACAGCCACTTGTTTGCCATCAGCTGTGAGTCCATGGTAGACTGTTCCGAAACTTCCATTCCCTATAACCCTTTGAAAATTATTAGTCATCTTCAAGATATCCGTGTATGTAAATTGCATGTTTTTTGGCTCCAGAAACGTATCTTTTTTGTTCTGCTTGACTCGCAGCATTGCAGCTGTAAGAAATCAATCTAGGTATTAGCTAATTAAGTATGCCATTTTAGCTAAGGAAAGCTAAGAAAAAGAAAAATCACACTAATACACAATCGGAAAAGAATGTCATACACGAGTTTCTTGCCCTTCTTAACTTCAGGATCACAATTAAGGCAGCCAAGATAACCAAGGACGATGTAAGCGTGATAACCACTGGGACAACAAACTTTTTGGATTTCTTGCTCCGGCACAGGTCAGCTTCACAGCGTCCATATGAATCATATCCATCAACTCTGCCAAACCCAATTTGAATATTGGAATAAGTTACTGATAGAAGCCAAAAAAAAGATCATAAAGACACTCTAGAGTAGAGAAAAAAACACCCAAGATGAATGTGTAAGAACCTCAACTGCAGGCCACTCTTTGCCTTGTCAAGAAGTTTTTTAGGAATTTTGCCTTTGAGTTGGTTTCCTGATAAGTTCCTACATCAGGTTACCCATATATAGCAATCAGTAACTATAAGCTACTAAGGACTATACAGTTGATACGGGGATCACTTTGTCTATTTATTTGTTGATCAGACTTACAGGAATTTCAAATGTAACAGCTCAGCTAGAAAACCTGGTATTGGTCCATTCAAAGAATTATATGACAGATCCCTGAGAGAGTAATTGAATCATACCAAGAGCCATCAGATTTTGTCAAGCCCAGATGTTCTAGTACTCTCGGAAGAGATATGATCACTTACAGGTTCTCCAGGGAAGTTAGAAGGGATAAATCGGAGGGCACGTCCCCAGTTAATCCACTTGAGGATAAATTCCTGCATGCAAATAAGTGGTAGTTTATACTCTCTCAGTTTCAAAACAAGAATCTTGTTTATTGAACTAAAATAGTGCTACTTGACACTTATTTTGGGACGGAGGAAGAACAGTAAGAAACAATACAGTGATGTGATCCTGGGAGGAATACTAGCGTTTCTGGATACAGAGCAATCAATGCCGTCCCACTTGAACTTTTTAGGCAAACAAGGGTCCCCTTGCCAGTTTCCGTTCACTTTGTATCTTGACTTGATATTAAGTATTCCCCTGACTAAAAGAAGTTCAAGTTGAGATTCAGTTTACTTATGTGCGACTTCAAGAGAAGAAATTTTACAGGAAGATGTATGTACGTACCATCATTTTCATCCGTCTGCGATTGAACAAACCGCATTTCAGAATACACCTCCAGAGCGTTAATGATGGGTGGAAGAGTTGAATTCTCTGTTTTTCTTAGTGAATATTTAAACCTTACTTTGTTTTCCCCCCGGCTGGTACCCCTGGTGAATACTGACAGGTATTCAGGAACGATAGGTTGGTCGGGTGATCTTTCCTTAGTTAGATCAACATAAAATCCTCTGTATTCGTTGCTTTGCAACTCTGCAACTTCAGCAAAATGCATGAAGACATAGAACTCTATGTTTGGGTTTGGGGGTTTCCATTCTAAGTTCAGGGGTTGATCATCATCTCGAGGCATTACAGCGGTTTTCATCACCTTCTGTGGTGGACTGTAACTGTTCTCTGTAACGTTGAGGGTGGTGTTTGATTTGATTTCCACCCAAAAATCAGGCGTGCGATATGGACTCCATATCCTATCGTAAATGTCATCCGGGTACCTAATACTGCAACACAATCAGTTAAAAAGAGGTTAAAAGTTTAGACCTTCTTACTCATTGGGAAACAAATGTTTCATCATGAACACCTGATAACTTTGTAGGGGTCTACTGGAGCAAGATTGAAGCGCCAAAAAAATGCTAGCGAGTCGCCAGGATTATCTGTGGGATAAATATTTTTATCCAGGCGCCGAAGCTCTAATGCTGAGATGAAAGGAATTCCATTGCCCGTGTTGATGAGACAAACGTATAGATAATTTGATGATGGGACATGGATGAGTTCCTTGACGATGGGCGTTGTATCATTCTTCGTGCCTACGGTATCCCACCGCTCAACTCCAAGATGAAGATCAAAGGTTGGTGGTTGATTCTGGTGGTCGTAGTTCCCGTAGAAAAATGTTGCTCTGATCAAGTACTTTTCACCCTTGCCCTGTACTTCAGTGAGATTGTAACAGTTCCTAGTACCGTTTGGAAAACTTCTGACGGTCCATAGGGGCCGATAAACAGAATCCTGCAGGTGATATTCATCTATGTCATTATTGATCCCTGTGTCGATGTAATCTTCATCGTTCTTGTAAAAAATGTGTGTGTCCAGGTCGCGGTAGTTGACAGATGTTTTAGGTGGCAATCCGCAATCTATGCTTATGAAGCCTGACATGGATAAAGTGGTGTCACACGAAATACAGCCGAAAAAACAGTTAGATGGAAAAGGTTTGTTTAGACTAAACGAATCATGTAATTGAGGGATCCAACCTGGTTGATCCTGTGCATTGCTCAAACTGATTGTAACAACAAAGAAGCAGATCATTAACAATGATGGCTCGTTTCCCCAATCTCGCAGCGCGCTCGCCATTTTTGGTGTCTGTACTTTAGCTAGGAAATATGAAGAATTTATCCAAATGGAAGAAGTATGGCTTATTAATTTCAGGAGTGCCCTACACATTGATAAATCATCCGCAAGGGTGTTTCTGCACCCGTTCAAAGACATCAGGGCAAATGAATTAAATGTCCTCAACCAATTCATGTCTTCATGGTAATTAATGTTTTATACCCTAACAAGATTCTTTTCAGGAAAACTATTTCCTTTGTACAGTTTATTAGTCCACTTTGTTAATCTAAAACAGAGTAAGTTAACAGAGTAAGGCAACATAATTTCGACTGTTAAAGTGAATAGACTAAGGTAATAAACACCTCATCATAGGTAGGATGATCTAAGCTGCTGAGCTGATCGGGGAGTCATATCTCAATTATTAATTGGGTACCCCTATTTAAAGGTTTTTCTTTTTTTTTTCCACCGTCAACTTGATATGTATAGATAATAACTACTGGTAAATCGCATTTCAGGACGTCTGCAACTAGAGCGAATAGTACACAGGTCGTTTTCATACTACCCTTATTAGATCAAAGTGAAGTTCATATGGGCAGCCCTGAATTTAGTTTCTCTGTTTCCAGTTTGGAGTATGTTCAATACTTTTTGATGCTCAGAGTTTAGTGGAATTTAATGGATTCTCCTCGCGTTTTAGCGGATGAATAGAAAGACAAAATATTATTTGCATCTTGAGTTTAGAACTGAGGAGGATCAGGGAGATTGTGGGATGCTGGAAATGAAGATGGCTGATGGCATAACCAAAAACAATCCTGCGGAAAACCTTTAATTGATTAAAAAACGAGAAAGATATCAAGCGCAAAACATTCTCTACTTGAAATTTATGTTTTGTGTATGCAATTAGGAGTCCCTTGACTAATGGTTTTTTTTTCAATTTGAAATCGCCTCTCAGGGATTTGAACCCCTAATCACGTGGTTACGTAAGTACAGTAGTCCTTCGCCCTCATCTTTTCACCAAACCATTTCATCTCCTTTCTTTAAACTATTGCTCATTTCAACACATTTTTACAAATTCTATAACGGGATCAAACGATTTATTTATTGATTATCAAGATCGGTCTATTGCAAGAAAAACCAATTAAAAGTTTGGAGTGGATTGATGCAGTCTCTTGACAATTAATGAAGGGGTCATGACAATTAAGGCGATATTGCATTTGATACATGACTCTCTTGCACTTTGACACATATTATTGAGATGCATGCATTTGATTTATGCAAGTTTGTGCATTATTTTCCCAATTTGTGCCTGTCGCATCCTTGTACAGAGACAATAATCTTCTACGTTTTGTTCCAATTTCATCGCATGTCCCCAAGGAGACTGCAAATTGTTCAAGCATTTAATACGATTGCCAAGACTCCGTAACACTGTGCCAACCATTATATTTTGGAGTTGGTATATGCATTTGGTGTAGTAGGACATATACATTTGAAGGGGATAAGTGATTTGTCTCTTTGTGAATTTATGAAATCATTTTTGAGGATTTCTTTTCTTTTCATTGAGGTTCAACCGTTCAAGTATATCTTCATTAAAAAAGAAGGGGAAAAGAATATTCCTTGAACGTCATACCTACTAGCTAGCTGATACTTTAGGATAAAAGAATTATGAAATTGTCAATTTAAATCGTGTTTTACGTATGAATATGGTTCCGGCACCAACAAGTGATGGTGGAATTAAACAGTAGGGAATTTGTATCTCTTAAGCAGATATCTAATTAAAAGTTTTGTATGCCTAAAAATTGTTAAATGAGATCTACCCCCAATAATAACAGATTCGGGGATCACAATCGTTATTAGAGTCTACCATTCCCATTGCAAACTTCGGAGGAACAAATTGATGTGCTCAGAGAGAGTTTGCATTTGATTGTATTTGTATCGATCTTTGGATGTGGAACAACTTTTCGATTTTTAAAATAATACACAACTTTAATATTCAAAAATAAAAAGGAAAAAGAAAAGGAAAAGTTCTAATCTGTACTGAACCACATAGCTCAATCAGGCTTGCTGAGCTCAAGGTTTAGAAGAATCAGTACTTGAATCATTTTCCAGTCAAAAAATATTATGCAACCATTTGGGACTTTATTAGGATCTTTTAAGGATGACATTAGTCCGGACCCAAGGCATTTTGTCGATGCACTTTATCATGAATTATTTTTCTGCGACGGAGGACTAGTACACTGCCTTGGCCTGATTTAGCGGATTTAGAAGTCCAAAAACTTGAAAGTTTCATCGAATTTGCATATACAAATGGAACCCATTAAACCTACAGAGCAATCCACCCTAATCGATGCATTTCTCAAATGGTTGAAATAATGCAATTTACTTTCACGTTATTGGTGACGAGTGCTTGAACCGATCAAAGTCTCAAACTTGAATCGTGAAATCATTAGCACCGCATCAAAAGATTCCTCCTACAGTTGCTGTATACATTCATCCATTCACATATATATATACTGCAATAGTTAATGGCAAAAACTTTTTCGTCGAATATGTCTGTGTTTCCAGGAGCTTAAAGTTTTGAACCCATGAAGTCCCATTTTCAGAGTTCAATAAGACATTTGAAGAGTTTGCATTAACTGCAAAATTACTAATTTATATCTTCTGATTGTTTGAAGAGACTTTACCCTGCAAATCGAACAGTTGCCACGACACCAGCAAAACCATAATGATCCGCACTGCCAAATTCTTTGCTTCTCAAATTCTGTCCATTACAATAGTTACTTCTTGTAATAGCTCAAAATTAATTTCCAAAGGAAGAATATGCAAGTAAGGAATTTATAAAGGATAAAGAAATAAGGAATTTATAAAGGATAAAGAAATTTTATTACTATACGCACTGATTTGTAACGACAAAAACGTTAAAAGAGTAACTACAAGACACGAGTTTCGGATCATTGATCAACTAACAATACAGTAACTACTTCAAGAGAGCACATATACAACCTTGAATCCTACAACCACAAATTGAGATTATGACTATTTACTAAGTAAACAAAATTAACTACAGTTCAACTGAGGGACGATGGAGTCGAGGAGATAGTCAACCATCAGTTTATTTGCTCGTTGCGTCGTGCTGAATCCATCCCAAGTGATATATTTCTCCGGATTCGGGCAAGAATCAACTTTCCCGCAGCGTTTGTCGAAAGAAAAGTTGAACTGGCCTCCACTTCCACAACAAGCTGAAAGCTTGTTCTTGAATCCAAGTTTTTCGGCGTTGGATAGAAGTGACAAGTAGGCATACAATAGTAGCATCGGGATGTGTTGGGCCCGAGTTCTCCTCCAATTGTGCCAGCAAAAAGGAAATCAAACCAAGCCAATTCGGCTTTGGTTTTGGTTTGATCGAGAAAGATAAAAACCAATCCAATTTGGTTTTTGGTTTGTCTTGGCGGTGGCTTATAAAAGCAAGGCAGCAGTACTTGTTTTTTTGCTTGTGTTTTAGCCGAGAGAGAAGAAAAAGGCAGCCGCACACTTTGTTTTGTGTGAGAGAAAAAGAGGTAGAAAACTAGGGTTTCGGGGTCTTTAATTTGGGAGAAGAAAGTGTTTCACTTTAACGCTTTGATCGGGTACCGATATAGAGTCAGTCATTGGTGCAAGTTTGCATGTGTGTTCCTCTCAACAAGATATGCAATTCTTCCGATTTAGTTTTCGATTGAGCTCTCTTTTGGTGAGATCTTTCCAATCCCTACTTTGTGACTTAGGTGTATTTGGAAGTGGAGTATTGTTGTAATCCACCTTTGGGTGAAGCTGTGTATCCATCGGTTAGTAAAGACTGTTTTTCTATTATTGTGATAATGGAGATTTGACTGTTGTTACAGTCCCGTGATTTTTTCCGATTTAGATTTTCCACATAAATTCGTGTGTCTACTTTACTTTATTAGTTATTAAATTATTTGTTTGTTTGGTTGGTTGTCCTATTTTATTGGTAGTAGGAAAGGAAATTTTCTTGGGGTTCGTTTCTGCTGGTCTATTGTGTTTATACCCTTTCTGCCACAACAGTGGTATCAGAGCTATGGTTTGGTAGTTGAGGTGTTACACCAAGAAAATGAAAAAGTCATCGGGTGCTGGTACGATGATTAAATTGACTTCATCCAATTAGCATATGTGGAAGCCTAGAATGGAAGACTTGTTGTATTGCAAAGATTTGTTTGATCCTGTTCTATTGGATGAAGGTAGGCCAAGTGATATGACTGATAAAAAGTGGGCTGATATGCACAGAAAGGCTGTTGGTAATATTCGACAGTGGATTGATCAAAGTGTGTTTTATCACTTTTTGGGAGAAACAAAAAGCTGATGAACTTTGGGAGAAAATCCAGAATATGTACTGGAAGAAGTCCAGAATCAATAAGTCATTTGTGCTGAAACAGATTACCAGGTTGAGGTACAAAAAGGGTGGTAGCATGAATGAGCACTTGAGTTAGGTTCAGGTTTTGTTGAAGCAGGCAGTTAATGTAGGTTTAAAGTTGGATAATGAGGTGCAGGCTTCGTTGTTGTTTAGTTCTCTTCTAGACAGTTGGGACACTTTGGTAGTGTCAATCAGTAATTCAACCTAGGATAGTCTCTTGACCTTGGATCAGGTCAAAGAGGCTTTGATGAATGAAGAAGTTAGAAGAAAAGAGCAGAGTATTGAGTCTGAGTCGCAGGCTCTGGTGACAGAAAAGTCAGACAGAAGAGGGAGAAGTAAAAGCAGAGGGCCACGTAATTGGAATGACAAGTCCAGGGGACGGTCTAAATCCAAGAAAGATGTTGTGTGCTACCCTTATCAAGGAAATGGACACTTTAAGAAGGAGTGCAGGGTTCTCAAGAGAGAACTAGTAGCGAGAAAAGGTAAAGGCAAAAAAGATGAATCAAGTGATGATGATACTACTGCAGTAGTAACTACCAGTGATGTATTTGTGTATTTGCGAGTCGCGACAGTGATTGGTTTGGTGATTCGGATGCGTCTCATCATGTGACGCCTCACAGACACTTCTTCACCTCTTACACACCTGGAGATTTTGGTCGGGTAAGAATGGACAACCAAGCCTCATGCGATATTGTCGACATGAGAGAGATATCATTGGTAATGAATACAGGTTGTACTCTTGTATTGAGGAATGTTAGACATGTTCTAGATATGCGTTTGAACCTTATTTCCGTTGGCAAACTTGATGATGAGGGTTACCATAGCACTGAAGGTGGTGGCCGTTGGACAATTACCAGAGAGAATCTTATTATTGCTAGAGGAAAGAAGTTGAACTCTTTGTATGAGTTGAATGCAAAGTTGAAGAATGGAGAGGTGAATGCAACTCACAATGCCTCTATTGATCTCTGGCACAGAAGGCTTGGACACATAAGTGTCAAGGGACTGCAGATTTTTAGTAAGAAGCAATTCCTCCATGATTCCATGAGGTGCTGCTCTAGAATTTTTTGTTGATTGTATCTATGGTAAACAGCATAGGGTTTCCTTTCAAAATTCTCCTGCATCTAGAAAGTCCAGTTCTCTAGAGTAAGTTCATACAGATGTATGTTACATGAAAGATATTCATTGGGTGGTGCAATTTACTTTGTTACTTTCATTGATGATTATGCTCAAAAGGTTTGGTGTTTTTCTTTGAAATCTAAAGATCAGGTATTAGATGTGTTCAAAGACTTTCACCTTAGATTTGAAAGAGAGACTGGCAAGAAGTTGAAGTGTGTTCGAGCAGATAATGGTGGTGAGTACAGGGGTACATTTGAGAAGTATTACCGAGACCATGACATTAAACTTCAGAGGAGTGTTCCGAAGACTCTGAAGTAGAATAGCGTGGCAGAAAGAATAAGCAGAACTATTACCGAAAAGGTTAGGTGTATGTTCTTGAGTGCAAAGATGCCTAAATCTTTTTGGGGTGAAGCCATGCAGATAGCAGCTGATTTGATCAACATATCTCCCCCAATTCTGTGGATGGTGATCTACCACAGTGAGTTTGGACAAGGAAAGATGTCTTATTTGGACATTTGCGAGTTTTTAGTTGTCGTGCCTTTGTTCATATTCCTAAAAAATGAAAGGTCGAACCTTGATGGAAAATCCAAGCAGTATGTATTCTTGGGGTTTGGCAATGATGATTTTGGGTACATACTTTGGAATCCTACAGAGAAGAAGGTTTTCATAAGTAGAGATGAGATCTTCTTTGAAGACCAGACTATTGATGATATGGGAAAGGGCGAGATTACAAAATCTTCACCTGAGATTTCTGTTGATCTAAATCTAGTTCCCCACAATCAGATGATTCTCTTGAAGGTGGAGCTGAGACAGAGCAGGATGGTGAGTTTGATGATGATCCTACTACTGAGACAGAGACACCACCGGTTTCATCATCTCCTGTTCAGCCTAGGAGGTCAACCAGAGACAAGAGACCTTCCACCAGGTACAGTGCTCGTATTTGTTGCTTACTGATGGGGGAGAACCAGAGTCATATGAAGAGGTTCTTAGTCACGAGCAGAAAGATGAGTGGTTAGCAGCCATGCAAGATGAGATCAAATCCTTGCATGAGAATAACACGTATGACCTGGTGAAGCTGTCTAAGGGCAAGAGGGCACTCGAGAATAAATTGGTGTTTGGACTGAAAACAAGTGAGAGCAGCTCGCAACTGAGGTACAAAGCCAGATTGGTTGTGAAGGGATTCAATTAAAGAAAGGGCGTAGACTTTGATGAGATATTCTCTCCTGTTGTAAAGATTTCTTCCCTCCGAGTTGTGCTTGGTATAGCAGCTAGCTTGAATCTTGAGATTGAATAGTTTGATGTGAAGACAGTCTTCTTGCATGGTGATTTGGAAGGAGAGATTTACATGGAGCAACCAGATATGTTCCAGGAAGGGGAAAGAGAAGCTTATATATCATCTCAACAAAAGTTTGCATGGGTTGAAGCAAGCTTCGAGGCAGTGGTACAAGAAGTTTGATGCCTTCATGATAGGCCAGGGATACAAAAGGACCATAGGCGACTACTTTGTGTTTGTGAAGAAATTCTCTGAGGGTGATTTCATTATTCTTTTCCTTTATGTCGATGACATGTTGATTGTTGGTCATGATACTGCAAAGATTGCCAGGTTGAAAAAAGAGTTGAATAAGTCCTTTACGATGAAGGATTTGGGTTCGACTAGACAAATCCTTAGGAAGAAGATTTGTCATGACAGACAGAACGTAAAGCTTTGGATATCTCAAGAAAAGTATATCGAGAAGATTCTGGATAGGTTTAACATGAGCAGTGCTAAGGAAGTCTCGACTCCACTTGTGGAGCATTTTAAGCTAAAGAAATGCAGTGTCCTAAAAGTGAGAAAGATAAGGAAGAGATGAATAAAGGTTCCTTATGCTTTGGTAGTTGGTAGCCTGATGTATGCGATGGTTTGCACAAGGCCAGACATAGCTCATGCAGTTGGTGTTGTTAGTCGGTTTCTCTCCAATCTTGGTAAGGAGCATTGGAATGTTGTGAAGTGGATTCTCAAGTATCTGAGGGGCACTTCCAGATTGAGTCTTTGCTTTGGCAATTAGAAGACCATGTTGGATGGACATACAGATTCTGACATTGCGGGTGACCTTGATGGTCGGAAGTCTACTTCTGGGTACTTGATGACTCATGGAAGGGGAGCAGTTTCATGGCAAAGTAGGTTGTAGAAATGTGTTATTTTGTCTACTATAGAGGCAGAGTTTATCGCAACTACTGAATCTTGTAAGGAAGCAATTTGGTTGCAGAATTTTCTACAAGAGCTTGGCATGAAGCAAGAGAGGTATGTGGTTTACTGTTATAGCATGAGTGCTTTTCACTGGGCAAAAAATTCCACATTTCATTCGGGTCTAAACATATTGATGTGATATATCATTGGATTCGAGATGTGTTGGAGTACAAGGTGTTTTTTCTTGAGAAGATCCATACGGATGACAATGGTGCCGATATGTTTATGAAGACTGTGAGTAGATAGAAGCTTCTGTTTTGTAGATAGGAAGCGTGTTTGGTTTTACCCCCAATTTAGGTGAAGGGAAAGATTGTTGGGCTCGAGTTCTCCTCCAATTGGGCCAACAAAAAGGAAATCAAACTAAGCCAATTTGGCTTTGGTTTTGGTTTGGCCGAGAAAGACAAAAACCAATCCAATTTGGTTTTTGGTTTTTCTTGGCCTTGGCTTATAAAAGCAAGGCAGCACTACTTGTTTTTTTTTTTTTGTGTGTGTTTTAGTCGAGAGCGAAGAAAAAGGCAGCCGCACACTTTGTTTTGTGCGAGAGAAAAAAAGGTAGAAAACTAGGATTTTGGAGTTTTTTATTTGGGAGAAGAAAGTGTTTCACTTTAAGGCTTTGATCGGGTAACAAAACAGGGTGAGTCATTGGTACAAATTTGCATTTGTGTTCCTCTCAACAAGATATGCAATTTCTCTAATTTAATTTTCGGTTTCTCTCTCTTTTGGTGAGATCTTTCCAATCCCTACTTTGTGATTTAGGTGTATCTTGAAAGAGTATTGTTGTAATCCACCTTTGGGGGAAGTCTTGTGTATCTACCGGTTGATGAAGACTGTTTTTCCATTATTGTGATAGTGGAGATTTGACTGTTGTTACAGTCGGGTGATTTTTCCCGATTTGGGTTTTTCACGTAAATTCATGTGTCTACTTTATCTTATCAGTTCTTGAATAATTTGGTTGTTTGGTTGGTTGTCCGATTTTATTGGTAATAGGAAAGAAATTTTCTTGGAGTTCGTTTCCGCTTGTTTATTGTGTTTATACCCTTTCCGCCACAACAGCATGTTCCTTTTTGAGTTCTTCAATTTGAAAACTTAGAATCATGTTGTGACCATCAACATAATAATTGTAGTGCTTCAAACACTGATAGGAATCCAAAGGAATTGGTCTGTGATCGAAAGGATCATAGCTCGAAAGAATGCTGACGTAGGATAGAGACATGGGAAGACAACCAACAGGGAAATGTCCGGGCACAATAATTTTAGTGGCTCCAAATCCGATCAGGCTTATAACAGCTTCCACGACGCTCATCGTGACGTCCGGGACGAAAAATTCGGGAAACGTAAGTGAGTCAAGTCCAACAAATCCGAATTGAACTCCGTTTGTCCGATGTCGCCAACGAAGACTACTGAGTTCTTCAAATATTCTTTGCACAATGCCGGGGTCTTACAAGTTTGGTTCAAATAAGACGACATCCGTTCCAAATTGGACATTGAGCGAACTGTTGGTGATGATATGAAGCCAGTAATCCCTGTTGTCTAAACTATCTGGAACACCCTTTGCTCGCAACGTCTCCACAGGCAATGCAGTAGCCCCCGGCCACAGCGAAGTTGACACCCTGATTGAAATTAGTCAACCGACTATTATCTTCGTAAGGAGTAATGGGGGATTAACCAAAGGCTTCGGCAAAGTAATCGATCATGAGTAGGCCATTGGAGCATCTTCCGGTAGGTAGTCTAAGAGTTGTTCCATAAGGAAATGATGAGCACGGAGTTGCTAACGTGTTCTCGCGAACAATGTTTCCCGTGTCGGACGAGGCATCACTGATGTTAAACAGCCTGCCAAACTTGCAGGTTTTCTGCTGCGAGCCATTGCTGTTAGCGGGAGGATCGTCAGCGGATGATTGTAACATCTTTCTGGCACAACTAACATGCGGTTGCAGAAGTAACAACAAGATGATCAAGAAAACAGCAACCATGGAAAATCTGTTTTTAATAGATATCTTATTAGCCATTATAACTAATTCTACAGCGCTACTAAAGAACTAACCAGAGGAACAAAGGGATTAATTACAAAGAGCTGAGGATGTAGAATCAACTGTTTGAGAGATATATGATTGATTACTATGTTCGTGTGGTACTAAAGATGAGAAGCAGGTTGTCTATTTATAGGATTGGATTTGAAAGTGGAATGGTATATATATAATCCGACACCAAGTTAGAAATTTTAGATAGGATTGGATTGATTTGATCAACACCGCCAGTCGAGAATGAAAAAGAATTGAGTCTTAATCCGTGTATGATTCGGTGCAAATGCAAAGTCGAAAGAGACGGGATTTTGTAAATGATTTCTGACATAAATATTTTACCCTACCAAAATCCAAAACTGTAAGGGATCCAACTACGTTCATGGCTTCTTTCCTTTATTTTGCTTTTTTTTTTTTTTGAGAAAATAACTTCATTGCTTAATCCTTAATCCTTATACTTAAATAAAAGGCACAGTAGACAAGAAATAATGCCCAAGAAATATTCAAGGACTACCGTCAAATCGATCTCGTCCGCTGGATGGGGTTGATATGACGTCAGCGACTTAAGCGGGGCAAAATTGGAAGTTCAGAAAGTTTATTTCCAAATTTTATATTTTTCCTTCGGTTAAAAATAGCTGTGTTTTGAAAACCGGACCGGCCCGGGCGGTGTAACCGGTTAGCCCGGGAACTAGGAGCCTCACCGGTCCAGTTTCCATAAAAAACTGGATTTTGTATAACCCGGTCAAACTCGGTCAAACCCGGACAAAACTACGGTTTGACCGGAAACCGGTACCGGTTAAACTGGTTTTGCATATATTTTTTAAAAAATTAATTTTAAATATTTTTTTAATATTATTTTAACCAATTTTTACTGATTTCGAGGAACGAATTAACCTGTTAATCCGATAAACCCATCAATCCGGTCACGCTATCGGTTCACCTTCCGGTTCGGTTTTGAAACATAGAAAAATAGAACTTGTTTTTGGGAAAAATCCCCAGGCCAAGAAAACGACGTCGTCCATCCCTCCCCCCTCCCCCAACTATAAATTCGAACGATGACTGCATAATAGACTTCAACTCCCAACGCTCCTTCTCAAATCACCCTACCATTGAATCGGCCATTCATCAACGGCCATTGAATCGCGCATAGGGCCTTGTAAATAATCCAATTATTATCATGAACAAAGACACTTGTCTGCTGACGAATTGATTCTTCTGCTTATGAATTGAGGTCCATTGTCGTTATTCGCTCCTGGTTTTAGGAATTGGATGTCTATTAGGTTTTCTTCTTACAATTTTTTTAGGATTAGGAAATTCAAGATTAGCAATTTAAGCCTCCTTTGGACAAACAACATCTTTATTTCTTCAGGAATTGATGTTGTTAATTTTTTTTCGATTTCTTCTCTTCAGGCTGCAAACAATGAAGTTTTGTCAACTCAATTTATGTCATCAAATTTCTTCCTACAAGATAGCCAGTCTCTTCATCGGTGGCCCACTGCACCTCTTCTCCTCCAAGCTTCCAAGTTTCTCTTCCGATCGAATCACATAAAAGCTTCCAGGGTCTTTCTCGGCCGATTCAGGTATGGTTTTTATTTTTAATTATGGTCGAGCTTCTTGAAATTAAGTGGATTCAAATGGGTGTTTATTCTTATTTTTTACTGGGTCTGTTTATTCATTATTGGTAGAGGATTTAATATTGATCCGTTTAATTTAGCAATATTGGTCAGTTTATTGGCTTTGTTTATTCTTTTTTTTTTTTTTGATATTGAGAATCTGCCTGTAGTTAGAACTTGCTACGTAAAGGTTTGTTTAATTTAAATTTAGCTTTCTTTCCTTACCACTGAGGTGTCATCTTCGATGAGAATCTCCTTGTGATTATGATTATCTTGTTGTTCAGTACCGTACTTAGTCGTTAGTCTTTTGCCTCTCATGTGGCTGTTCAATAGCTATTTTCAACTTATAATGATAAGTAGCTCAATATAGTGAGGGAGTAAATCATATGTCTATTCTTTTGTTCCTTGACCTTCCACTTTTCACCTTTTTTTGTGTATTCTTTGTGTATTTTGATAGTATGCATCGGCATGTGAATAGATCAACTTGAACAACCAGAACCTTCAAGGAGTTTGTATTTTTGCAGAGCCAGATTGTGTAAAGTAACATACTGTAAGTGAAAACTGGACTCCTCTATCTAAGTAATTACTGGCTGCTAGAAATTCCCCTAGGTTGTGCCTCTTTGGTTGTTGGAGGCAACAACCATGACCCTTTTGTAAGAGCCACAACCACTTTTTGTTTTTTAAGTCAGTACTTTTTAAAAGTTCAACAGTTGAATATCTTCACTTATGGTCGCAAGTATTAAACTTTGAAACTGCCAGGGATCCGAGTAGGTTGCTGCCCCTGTCTTTGTCTGTGGAGGTGCAAGATTTTGAAGTGGTGTTGGGTTTTGATCGATTACCAGAAGTGGTGTTGGTGTTGGGTAGCTGTTGGTTTTGGCCCCGAGGTAAACTTTAAGGGGTTAGTATTAGGAAATTCTATGCATACGAAAGAGGATTAGAAATATGTTTACCTATTCCCTTAATTGTATTAGGATTTGGAAACCCTTTCGTTTATAAATACATCACCAAAAAGAATAATGTGATTTCGGAGAAACTTACCCCTTGTTTTGACTTTTTTTACAAAGGTTTTTCAATATTTTTATTTATAAAGTCTCATCATGATCTCTACTGGAAATCCTTTTCTGCCTTGTAGAGCTCAGGTAGTGTCTGATAAGAAATTTCTGCACATTACTGTTGGTTCCTTGTGTGCCATCTGGTTGTGTCTTGAGTACAGAAGCTCTTTTTTGTTGATGTTTAATTATATCTGTGTCTCACTTTTCCTTGTTATTCATGTGATTATTGGATCAGCTGTCCTCCTTTGGATTGCTCCAAACCCTTTAATTTCTCTTCCTTTTTCTTTGAGATGATTTTTTTTTCCCAGATTTGTATTTAATGTGTATCACTTTCTGCTCAAATTTTTCAGTTTATAAAACTAAAGAAACACTTCATTTTCAATTGTTTTAACTTGTTTGTATTCCTTCTGCTGTTGAAGAAAAATTTGAACAAAAACATTTGAGAGAAGCCAAACTCACTGCTGGAAAGGGAGGTTCATTTTGAAGCATAAAAGAAAAGACAAAATACTTGAAGCCCCTACCACTGAGTTTCAGCAATGGTTGGCAATCGAAATCTCAATTCATTTGTTATATTGGTGAGTGTTTCAATTCTTCCTATTGTCTTGAACAAATTGCCTTTCAAAAACTATTTGCTAATAGATAGCTTCTTAGCAAAAAAAGTAACCAAGGAATAGCTAGTAAACAACATTATAAAAACTATTTGCCAATAGATTAAAGGGCCAACCATAGGATTTTCTTAATGGGTTATTTTGGAATTGGCTTATTTAAAACCTTGTGCTCACTAATTTTCCAAGCTGTCCATCTCATTGTGAAGCTATATGCTTTCAGAACATCAGTATTTACTGTTCAGATTCTTTTACCATTCAGATTTCTTCTGAACAGCAGGCTACTGCAATTTTTAAAACGCATATGATTGCACATGCTAGCTTGCTAGCTAACTACAATTTATGATGACAACATTGTATCACTATTGCTGGTGTTTCCAAACATGATTGAAGAATAAAACTGTTTCAATGCTTTCTAGACAAATTGATCGTAAATAGTTGTGCTCTTTCAATGCAAGGCCTTGCTAATCTGACAGAAAACTCTGCGAATGCAAGGATGCATATGAGAATGTGGTTGGTGGGAACCTAAGCATGAAAGAAAAATGCTTTGGATATGAAGGTAGCCGGCAGAATTTCCGGAAAAAAATAATACAACGGAGTTTTTTCAAATTTTTATTCAATGGCCTGAACGATTCTTTATTTTGGCATCAAACTGAACAACACAAAGACTTTCAAATATACTGGACTAGCTCCATGAGCATTCAACAGGAAGAAGCAGATTTTTTTGGCGACCATTTTGAAGTACTTCGAATCCAAAATTGTAAATAGTCTTTTTACATCTGTAAGTCTATTAACTCATGAAACAACAAAATATTGTAGAATACAAGATTTCAACTTCTGTCAATGGAGTTTCTTTTAATTTTTTTTTTTGCTTCACAATATTATAGAATACAAGTAAATTTAATTGAAATATCATTTCTATTTGCCTCGAAATATGCAAATGCAAATGCATTTTTAGTTGGGATTAGATCACATTGAGAGATTTGGTAAATGAACAAATTTGCAAGTAAACACGCAATTAACATTAATTAAGTTATATAAAAATGACTGAACAAAAGGATAAGATGTTTACCTAATAAATATGAAATAGTAATTTAATTCTATAATTTGAGTGAAAACATCGGTGAAGATCCTAGCAATGCCTCCTACGTTAAAAGAGGTGTTAGAGGACGACAACAAGACTCGAAACGTCGTTTATAAGAGGTCTTCGAGCTCGCCGAACAGTAGGAAATATCAGGGCAAATATGGCTCCCGTTATTTTGATCTAAATTTTTTTCTCCTTTTTTACATAGATATTAATGTTTATTTGCCATAAACATACACAAAATATTTATTACCGTTTTGTTTCTCTGATTAGATATCTTTCAACATGTTCTTTTTTCCTTTTCATAAAAATATGTTCTTTCTTACACTTTATTATACACTACTAAGTCTAACGGAGTAAACAAATGTTAAAATAGATTGGTCGCGCAACGCGCGACACCAAAAGACTAGTACTTAAATAAAAGCCACAAGAAATAATGCCCAAGAAATATTCCAGTACCACCGTCAATTGATTTCCGCCGTCGGATGGAGTCGATGTGATGTCAGGGACTTATTATGACTAAAAACGGGAATTCATAAATTGAGTCCATCCAGATAATTTATTTAAAATCCGTAACCTTTTGCACAAAAAAATCCCCAACATGGAAAACGACGTATTCAAATGTTTTTGGAAA